TTGTAAGATTGGTTCTGCAGGCTTTTCTATTTACTGGTGCGCGCTTCTTCGCCCCAATACTGGGGTATAAACGCGCCGCGAGCAGGACGAAGGGGCAACGCGAAGTAGTCACGATCATCACATCACATCCCTCCTTCACCGTCGCGTGCTTAAAAATAACGCGAGTGATCCCCCCCCCCCCCCCCCCCCCNCCCCCCCCCCCCCCCCTCTCGCGGCGATGTCTACGGTACATCATTCACACCTTGTCGATGTTGGTGACGAAATGGGCGTGGGCTCCCTGCAGGCAGGTAGTCCTCGCGCTGTCGTCCCGATGCTTGACTCTCCTCTTGAGGAGGCGGTTCTCCTGCAAAAGGGGGTTGGCGGTGACGAGACAAATAGCTTTCTGTCCGTCTCGCTCGCTGGCCGTTCGTCTCCTCAACCCTCAACCCGCTGCTGCAGGACAATCGCCTCCTGCAGCGGGAAGCCATGCACCCGGATGACATCCCTAGGTTCAACATCCTTCAGGGAGACCACGCCCACTACTTCACCAACATCGAAAACGTGTGAATGACGCACCGTAGTTACCGCCTTGAAGGGGGGATCGGGGTCACTTTACTCGCATCATGATGAATCTCATGTTGACTTGCATCGCTGCATCGTGTCTTGCATACGGGGAGGGCGAGCGGAAACGAAATACGAGCGAGTCCCTTCTTCCATGTCGGACCTCATACCACTCATAGCGTCGTCTTGAAGGACTTGCGTTCTCTACCGTACAATCGTCTTTGAACTCGTCGCCCCAGGAAGGGGTAGAGGTAGGTGGTCGACTAACCTATTCGTTCCAGACGAAGATGCACACGCAACATCATAAAGAGCGTGCATGCATACAAGTGCTGCCAACTGCTGTGTGCTTGCTTGAATGCCCTGAACACAGTATCCTTTGCTCCTCAGTCCTTACCCGTGTCTTGTATCTCGAAGACTTTGAACATGGTAGAGCTCGAACATGCTCGAAAGCGATAGTAGTAGAGGGCTGTCCTTCATGCTTCTTGGTCGTCGTGGATTGTGTTGTCCACTTATCGTACGACCCCGTGGAGATGAGAGCTATTCCGGCGTTGCCTTCCGGCCAAGTTCGGGGTGAACGATGACGGCCGCGAGTTCGTGTAGCTGGCGAGGGATCTCGTGGCACAGGTGAACCAGAGATCGAGAGAGAGCAATGTTTAGCGATACCAGCGTTGTTTTGACATCCCGTATCAGGTACACTCAAACTGAACACGAAGTACTTAGCTGCTTAGACAGAAGTCGACACAGAGACTATGACCCTTCCCTCTTCTCCCCCCTCAACCTTTCGTATCTGTTTGTGAGTTTGAGACGGCGCCCGGCAGATACAAAACCCCAGCCCCCTGGTTCTGTCTGCAGCATGTGTCCGGAATTTTTTCATTCAATGGCGCTCGCGACCCCGCCTCCTGCCCCGAGACATGCGCTGTAACACCCATTGTCGACGTTGCTGTGCCGAGATGAAAGCGAGGCATCTATGTATCACATGGCGGTTCCATCTATAACCAAGAACGTCGTGCACAAGCGCAAGCCTTGCCATGCCAAGTCTCGAACAGGACGCCCGGCTAACCCAATTCCATGGCCATGCTCAAGTCTAAAGAAACGCGATCGGTACCCCGAAACCAGTCACCGCCCCCGGTGAAGCCCACAGCCTGTCGGAGGAGGCTAAACGCCTCGCGGATGGCATAGCGCCGGCCGCCCGTGCGCTGCGGGAGAGCCCGTCCACGGTGAACGGCACGCTGGCGAAGGCCGCGGAAAACTCGACGGCTGCTAATGACCGACAGCGCCCCGGAAGCCTACCTCTCGCAGCCAGGCAGCAGCAGAAAGGTCGAGCGGCATCCATCGCCGAGCTACGGCTACCGCTTGTACTCCACCACCCCGTTAGGTGAAGGTAATGGACCGGTGAGCGCGGTGGTGGCGGTGGCGGCATCCACCCTGGAGGAGGAGGAGGAGGAGGAGGAAGAGAGTTGGACGTGGAAGAGATGGAAGGTAGGGGGGCCTTCGACCCTACCCCCGAGCTCCGGCCCAGGCTTAGCAAAAAGAGAGCAGCTCCATCCGATTCGTGATGGCCGACGAGGAGGCTCGCATCCGGAAGGTAAGAGCTGGCCAGGGTCTTCCCCTCCGGGCGGCCCCGAGGACTGGCGGCGGTAGGGGTGTCGGAGGAGGACGGCAGCAGGAGCACCACACTAGAGCTGGTGATGATGACACATCGGCGGCCGAGTGGAGGGGGAAAAAGCAGCAGCGGGAGAGAAGACTTCGGTCAACGGCGACTCGGGGAGGGCACGGCACGCCAAGGGCCGAATCAAAGCCTACAGCGCCATCTTGGAGAAGACCCCGAGCAAGATTTTTTCGTACGGGACCCCGCCCCCGGGTATCGCCACCGCCGCCGCGGCTATTGCTCCCTGCGCGAGCAGGAACGCAGGCATCCCGGTGGCCACCCCCTGGCCGCGAAGCGGGAGTTCGTCAAGAAGGCCGCGGCCATCGCCGTCACGATGTTGTGGGAGCCCCACGTCCAAGTTCTTCAGCCCATTGGAACGATCTAAAGACCTTGGCCTGCCGTGCGGGCAATGGCTCCGGCCTTCTTTTCGAGCTCCGGTGGCGGTACTCGGGGGCGGGTCCGCCAGAGCAAGCTTTTGCTCAAGGTGTCCTCCACGAAGGCCCCATCCGCCGTCGACCGAAGCAACGGGCGGAAGAAACTTGGACTCTAGGCTTACACGACGTCGTAGCGGCGATGGCCGCGACCTTCTTCGTCGGAACCGGACGGCGGCGGCGGCGGCGGCGGCGACGACAGCAGCGGCTCTTGCTCGATCGGCAACCTGTCCCCTCCGCCGGCGCCGATCCGCGCCGGTGGTACACAGAGCGGTGGTTGCCAAGCGAACGTCGGCATCGGCGGCATTCTAGCGGAGATCCGGGTCCGCGGGGAACGAGGCGGAGTCGGCGGCGGCGGCGGCGGTAGCCAAAAGCGACGGCATCGGGGGCCTTCTGGCGGAGATACGGGCGGCGAGGCGCGGCGTCGTGCTAAGAAAAGAGACCCTTCCTTCTCATTCTGGGGGCACTCGTGACCGGGGCGTCCCGGACTCCGCCGCGCCTTGCCTCCCGTATCTTCACCAGAACGCCCCCCGATGACGTCATTCGCTTGGCCACGGCCGCAACCGCCGCCCCGAGGATCTTCGCTAGAAGATCGCCGACAACATTGGAACATGGGTAATTGTTTTCGGATTGTATTAGCAAGATCTGATGGGACCCGTCGGCTACCTTTCTGGTGGGACTGCTGCTATTAGAGTAATCAAGACGTATATTGGGCCCGCTCTACGTTGGAATGGAATCCACTTTAGCTCGGTAATTTTTATGGAAACTTGGTGTTCGTCCGTGTTGATGGTTGGTGTCACCACTCGTATTGGCCGGTGACTTGGAAATGAGATAGAGGCGAACGAGAGGAATAGACCGAAAGGAGATTACGATGAACGTGTTGCTTCCCTGCTTGGTGTAACCACAGCGTGATGCCTAAAAGTAAGGACAGATCAGACGTATCTACTGACTACAGCCTGGAGGATTTTTCTGGTGGTGCCGTTGAGCTCATCATAAGCTATTGAGAGGAGAACCATCGATACTTGGTTCAAAACTCTACGTCGACAAACGCCTCACCGCTTGTACCGGTTGTAGGGGTACTACACTTCTTCGCAGTCACTCTCTGATGCCGGTCCGTGTCCCCATGAGGAAATCAGCATCGCACGCAAGAATATGCATACTCCGGATTGCAACCTGTGCATACACCGGCGGTTTCGTCCGCAAGCCCCTGATTATTTTTTCCGGCGCAAGGTTCACCGAAATCTGGAATATGCTCACCTGCTCTGCGGGTAGATATGGATACAACAAAACGCTGCTCTTTCACCAAGCTGCCCGCTAGCGCTTGTATGTTTTGTCAATTCTACGGCACTGGTATCGAAAAATCTCCCCGCATAAGGTGGATCCGGGCTATAGCAACCGAAACAACCGTCCGCAGAGACGAGAACAGTATGTGCTTCGACGAATTCCGAATGGACACAACCATCAACACAACGAATAACGGCCGGTCGTACTGCAACATTGCGGGTGAATCAACCATAGACAATGCTTGAAAGAAAGCCTAACGTGCTTGAACTTCTACTAAATAAGTGTCTCTTTCTTTTTCCAGTAGTACTGGTCACGGTGCTAGGCGACTGCCCGCTACGAGGCTGAGGGGTCACTCACAACACAGGAGGGCCGAATGAAGACAGACCCAGAACACTACCGTACTCATTCGTACGCAATAACAGGCATCCTATCCCTGCAGCCTGCGGAAGAACCCTCACACCTACCCACTTCACCCTACCTACCACGTTTTAGTCCACACCTCTTGAATGCAACTTCCAATAAACTATTGAAGCAAGGAAGCACCCCATGAACATCATCACATGGTCCCTTTCATGCTACATAATGTAGCGCAAGAACCCACAGCAGTGTGGGCATCATTTTTATGTCTGCAGCAGTATCCCCCATGTAAATGAACAACCCTCCCTCGCAATTTGTAATAGCAAATCGAGCTGAAACCGCGCGCGACGCCGACGGCACGGGACAAACAACCTGTTCAAAACCCGTTTTTTGGTGTCATCAAGGGTGAGCTACCCAAATATGGAGGGAAGAAACTACAATGTGTCTACTCGTTCCTTGTCAATGGCGGCGATGGGTGTACTACTCCAGAGTGGCCACAATGTAGTCCGCAGCGGTACCCAAGGTCTTCTTCCCACAAAAAACAAACTTCAAAACCATGTCCGTCACAGTATTGGCAAAGCATCGCTCAACTCCCCCAGGCCTTCCGTACCTACATACAAGGCTTGCGTTGACCACGTTGCCACGGATAAAGAACCACGACCCTCGTTATGTGACTCACCAAATGACCCCGCATTGCTAACTCGTAACCCGTCGCAAAATTCGTGAGGGGTGTTGCCGCGAGTGACATGGGATATCGCCAAAAGAAAACAATGTTTGTCACTACACTAGACCTGGACCCGTCAAAATGACACAGAAAGACACATGTGCAGCAAGCACCCGTTCACCGATCACAAGGCAAGCCTCTCCACCGACCAGAGTCTTAGTGCGCCCGAACACGCAAACGAGAAAAAATGAATCTACACAAATCACACGGAAGTCCCCACACATGCGAAGAAAAGGTGGGAGATCAAACCAAACAGCACCCACCCCCGGAACAGCCCCCCCCTGTAAGAAAAAAATATCTAGGTTGAATTCTTATCGTAGTGATAAGGAGCATAAACGTAGAAGAAAGGTGGGAGATCAAACCAAACAGCACCCAACCCCGGAACAGCCTCCCCCTACAAGCAAAAAAATCAAGGTTGAATTATTATCGTAGAAAGAAGGAGCATCAACGTAGACTAAACGTCATAGCGGAATCAAAAACAGGCATTCCCAGACTCTGAATGCCAGGGAATATACCTGGAGGGTGAAAAAAAACGAGCACAAACACAGTACAACAAGTGACATCAAACAATCAAAGTTACGCTACAAAAATCAGAGGGACACCTGTCCCGACAACGGGCATGATGTCGACCGCAGAACGAACACATCGTCCCCCGGCCTCACTCCCCCCGCATCAGTCGGCCACTGGCCCGCCAACTTCTCCACCTTGTCGCCCTGCTTCTCCTCGCACTTACCGGCGAGATGGCCGTCCTCAAACACGACAGTGTGCCCTCCACCGCCGCTCCCTTCTTTGTTATACCCGACACCACTGCTGGCCTGTTTCGCCGCGGCCGCCGCTGGCCAAGGCTTGAGGGGCTCATCGGGCCGGGGGTTGATGTGTGTGTACGCGAGGGTGCTCCCCTTGTGCCCGCTCGGGCGGTACAGCCCCAGGGGCATGGCCCCGAGAGCGATCAGGTGCCGCGCGAGGTCCCCGTAGGTCTTCCCCGCGAAGGACGCCGAGACGCGCAGGTGGGCGAACTGGCACCTGCCCTGGTTTTCGGTGGAATCATCATCCCAGTGGTGGCTGCCGCCGTGGCTGGGGCGTGCCTTTTTCTCGTCGTCACCTTTGTTTTTGCGTTTTTCACCCAAGCTCACGGCCCCACCCGTAGCGGCGGCTGCGCCGCCGCGTCCGCCGGAACCACGGCCATTCCTACCGTCGGCATCGTCCATGCGAAGTACGGATGACGACTGGCCGCGGTGGTGGTGGTCGTGGTGGTCGTCGTTGTCCGAAGCGGGCGGGTTGCGAGCGTGTATCTGGAGCAGGGTCTCGAAAAACGAGAGCACGTGCGCGTTGAAGTACGTCCGCACCGCGAACACATCCATGACTGTTTGGCAGGAATTGTTCCCGACATCACCGAAAAAGAAAAAGAAACGACGCACACACACGCAGCAAAGAAAACAACGGCGCGGGGCGTAGGCAGTGGTGTCATTGACGGCGAGCGTTCTCGTGTCTGGGGAGGAGGTACACTACGGCGAGCAGGCAGTTCGTACGAGTTGTAACGTTTGCCACAATGAAATGCTAAAATAAACCAAGGTGTGTTGTATATGATTTTCAGCCGCGTCGCGCATACGGTCGCCAGTCGCATGTGCAGCCGCAGCTGCAGATCGGAGCTAAGTTCCGCAAGGAGGGACCGCAAGGAAGCTTGTCGTGGAGCCACAAATGAAACCGTCGGTTGTGTTCGGGACCAAACAAAATACCGAGCCTCAGGTGTCCTCTCTTTCTCACTCGAGGTGGTCCAGACTCCGCCGGCGGCGAACAAAGGCCAGTACCGCACGTCCTCGCTACCGCTGCCGTTGTCCTGCGCCGGAAAATGACCATTGCGGACCCGAACGAGAGCACAAACACACACAACGCATGACAGATGAGAAGGTTCAGAAATTCAACAGGACCTCAGAGAAGCGTTGGAGTGAACATCGGAGGAGAAGATACATAGGGGCACAAAAAAAAAAAAAACAAGGGAGGCAGCAGCGGTCTGATGGTTCTTATACAGCAGCGCTCACTGGCCGCGCGGGAGCTTTTGTGGTGACAGGTCACGATATCTACTCCCTCACACGTGCGTAAACTCACCTCGCTCTCTCACGGCTCAGCTACAGGAGTGTCAAGCATGAACATGTGTAGGTGGTAGAGGGGAATAAGAAAGGGCTTTTGCCAGAAAAACGCTAAACGACGGGGGACCAAACAGGAAGAAAGAGAGACAGACAGACAGCGGGAGAAACAGACACACAAGAGAGTGGGAGCCCGTACGTCCTACAACAAACACACGAGGATGAGAGATAAGAGACACCCGTGGAACCTTGCGACATCGTCAAGATTTCCGCCACACGTACGTACTGTACCATACACACAGCACCACCACGACGCACGCTCGTGCTTCGCCCTAACCCCGGCTTCATCCTTCGTCGGCTAGCACAAGATAACAGCCTCTCGCACACCACCTACTCGTTGATTCTAATGCTTCTCACAAACAACACAACAGATCCATCTCTTCCACAGGTAAGAGTTCCTTTGGGCTTCAAAAATGAAAATCACGCACATTCTCTGTATATTTTGATGCACTTAAAACCGTGACTTCCAATATTTAAACCATAAACAAGTCTCAACGTCGCGGCGCGATAATTTTTTCACGATCCGGAAATCTTGAGAACGAGCGCTGGTTGTTACTTTGTTCCGGCAGGTGTCCACTCACCCACTTGTCGGGAGTACGGGTGCTCGCGAAAGCGAGAGAATGGTCCTCGTCGTTTCCGTCCGGTCCCCCCAGGACGGTGCCACAGTAGTAGATGCTATCGTCCTTGGCTAAGTCGATCAATACCTTCGTTGCGATGGGTGGCCGAGGGAGGCGGAAGCAGCGCAAAAGGCACAAAAAAGTGTTTCGTGTGGAGACCGGAGCTCGCGAAGACCAAGCGCGCGGTGTCGAGGCAGATCGACGAAAACGTCATGAAAAAGAAACGAGTACACACCGCGGGATCAAAACGCGATCGTTCGAAATCAACGACAGCGCGACGAAAGCAGGAAAAGGAGGGAAGAGGTTGACAAATAACCCCATCCTCAGAAAAAAAGAAGAAAGTACCCACGCAACACAAGACTGACCACGCCTTGTCTTTTTTCCTACCTTCGGTCTGGGTTCTCCCGGCGCGATGGTTTCCAACACCTGCTCCAACTCGAACGACCCCAGTAACACCGCCGTATCAGTGGGACCATCGGACATGAGCATCACCGACTCCGCCTGAAGAGGCACCCAGAAGAGCGATTCCAACAGCAGTTCGGGGGGGCATATACCGTCGAGAGAGGGAGAGAAAATAGACGACTAATTTGATTTCAAGTGAAGTGAAGACAACAAGAAACAAAAATCTAAACCACGCCGGAGCTTTAATCCAAGACGTTCCGGTGGGGCTACGTGACGCGATCGATTCAGTTCACCGTTGAGAGAACCGACGGGGGGGGTAACCCCTGAAACGATCATTTTCACTTGGCGGACTTTGGCCTAGGCCGATGACGCCTCCGGCTGACGATCCACCCAAACCTAACCTAGCCCCGGAGCCTACCTCAAAGCTTCATGAAAAAATCGCGCGACGGGATGACAATGGTATTGTCGTGAAAAAGCCAGGACGGAGTATATACGTCGCCGGGATATCAATGCATAATCAAACTGTGTAGTCTATCTCACATTTACACGGCGTTTTACGGGAGCATAAAGCTGCGAGAAAAGTTCAAGTTTTTTTGGCAACTTTCGGTCGGGAAGTTTTGTCAAAAAAAAATTATTGCACGCCCACTGGAGCGAAAGGAAGTTTTCTTCGTGGGACTGGTGGAAGGCGCAGGCGTGATTACTCACTGTTTATCGAGCAACGGCGAGAAGCAGGCACACCCCTTCATACCACACCGCGAAACCGGCCCGAGCGCGCAACAAAAGCTTGGAAAACGAGTTGGCGGCGATAAACCTGGTGCTGTGTCTTCCAATCGAAGCCAGGGAAGACCTCAATCATGCTCACGTCCAACACAAGCTGCTGACGCGGACTCTACAAAATACGTATCTACCCAGCTGCGGCCAGCGCAGGCATTTCCAACTCGTCGTTCAAGTATTCTGACTTGGTCGTTTATCTATCTCGTGGATCGTGCGCGTGTGTGTGGCGAGAGAGGGTCTGCGCAAGTCTCTCCGCGAAATGTTTGCTCGACGCTTTTGTCACGAGGTAAGCTTGCAAACTTTGTTACCAAACTTTTGGTGCCACCCTTTTCTCCCATAAAGAGCATGGACTTGATGAGAAAAGTTGCGAGAACAGTTTGCAAACTTTTACACTTTTCTCGCAACTTTATGCTCCCCAAAAAAAGCGGTGTTGGCGATGGGTTGGGATTAGAAGCATTGGAGGCCGGATGGTACGACACTGAGGAGCGGCTATAGCGAAGGCTGCCTGCCGTTCTCAACATTTGAACCAGTACTTCATCAGAGATCAGAACAACACATGCGCGCTTCGAGGGCCGAAGAAGCCAGAGAAGGACGTCGCGCGTTCTTTCTCTTTCGCAGACCTGGGTAACATTGGCCTCCTCGAGGGTGAACCTGTCCTGCGTCCTGCCGAAGATGTGGTAGACCTGACTGATGTCGAGGCTCATCTCGAGGAACTTGCACTCCACCAGGCGGTTCCGCAGCTGGAAGAAGGACTCCTGAGGTGTGTGGGGTGGCGTGGACACACAACAGTCGAGAAGGGGAATGTCGGACAACNCCCCCCCCCCTCCCTTGCCTCCCCGAAAATGTGCCCCTTGCCCTTACCGTGTCCTCGGTGATCACAACGATCGGCTTGAGAGGTCGCTGGCGCCTAAGAGCCAAGATGTAGTACTGGAGGTCAGCGCTACCCCCGACGAGGACGATGTGGCCGGTCAGGTCCGGCGGCAAGGAGGTCGAGTGGAGCCGGAGGGCGTCCGAGATATTGCCGGAGACCGCGGCCACCTTTCATTGGGGGAGGGAAGGGGGGCAATCAGCCTGGGTGGGACACCAGCACGACCACTGCGATAGTCCCCCGAAGACACCATCATCGACGTTCACGACACCATTCAACAAGCGTAAGATCAACGGCAACGGCAACAGCAACGACAACAACAACAACAACCACTAACGAGAACAACGTACCTTGGGGGGGGGAGGGGGCCAGTGAGCCTGTGCGACAAGAACAAGACCACTGCGACAGCCACTCTGACGACACCATCGACGCTCGTGACAAAATTCAACAAGCGCAAGTATAGATGACACCGAACAACGGCAACAACACCAACCAAAAACGACATGGACACCTTGGCGAAGAAGTCGGGCGGGGTCTCGGTCGAATCCTGATCAAGATTCAGGTCGTCCAGCTGGGTCCTTGCCTTCTTGAGGGCATTAAGAGAGTGCGTCCAGTCGACCTTGTCATGGCGAAAGCTGAAAGCACATCCAAAACCGGGGGAGCAGTGAGGTGAGGCGAGAGGAAGGCGTGCGTAGCGTGAGGGGTGGACGCAAGAAGGTCGTCCGTCACTATTTTTCGGCTGGAAGAATGTGCCGCGAAAAAAAAGTGTACCCTTGGTGTAAATTCACGTCGGGCGGCACCAGCCTTGCCGCGGGAAGAAATCGACGAGAATGTGCGGAAATTCCATCTCCGGAGCAGAACATGCCTCCGAGGACAACCAGCGGAGGAAAGAACGCCGTTAAGTGGGAACGCTAGCGAGCAGAGAGAAGGGGGGGGGTCGCACCAGGGAGACAGCGGAGCCCCGGCTTCGAATCGAACCGTACGGCAATGCTTCATCGCCCCACCGCAATGCCAAGGATCCCCCCCCCCCCCCCCCCCCCCCCCCCCCCCCCCCCCC